AGGCAGATGCTCTACCACTGATTTATGGTACTCTGCCCTAGTGTGTGCTAATGTCTCTGCCTCTGCCTTACAGGTCAATCCCTAAGGCTCCTTTCTGGTTTGGTAGTGTGTGGCTTTGTGATGCTCGAGCTTTCGAAGATGTAAGGGTTAATTGCGAAGGTGTAAGGTTAATTGCGAATGTGTAAGGGTTAATTAATTGCATGGTGTGCTTTCAGGTGGATGATGAGGATTTACAAGACGAACCTCTGCAGATCACCGTTCTTGACCATGACACTTACAGCGCAAACGATGCTATTGGCAAGGTGTACATTGACATTGACCCTTTACTGTACAGTGAAGCTGCCACTGTCATCTCTGGGTGGTTCCCAATTTATGACACCATACATGGTAAGGAGTAGCACTGGAAGAAAATGAAGGGCTGTCTTAATCTATTCTGTTACCTTTTGAACTACACTGTGTCTGCCTTTTAAGGTATTTCTAAAAGATACCTAGAAAAATAGACAAGTAGCCAATTGTTGCTGAGAGAATCTCCATTTCTCTGAACATAGTTAAAATGCCTGCTGATTCTATGTGACAGAGGAGGTAAATGCAGTATTTAAAAGCTGTCATGAGTGTTAGGTTTGGGTCTGGCGGAGCAGTTTTGTAGTCAGCATTATACTTGAGGAGTCTCTAGCGCAGACCCAGGAAAAGAAGAAGTAAAATACAGAATAATGCATTGCTATTCTATACTTTTAAGACATGTTTTCAAAGTGATCAATACTGATATTTGTTTCCTGAAAGATTCCCAAAGTCTCTTTGTTCTTTAAGGCTGGATTCTTAGCCAGAAATGATGGTACATGCCTTTAAATCCCAATACTTGGTAGGCTGACTAGGAAGATTGTGAGTTCGAGGCTAGCCTGTCGGTGTAGGAACACCTGAAGTTCCTGAAATTCTGCTGTGGGTTTTGTGGTTGAGAGCTATTTTCAGCACAGTGATTGTGTCATTTACTGTTTTTATTCAGTTTCTTGAAAATATGCAGTGCTTTAGAGTCGTTAGGACACATCGTAGAGCAGAAGTTAGACTCATTGACAGGAAATTGTAGAGATTTGTAAAGAAGTCACAGTGCGCTCTCGCCACTATTTTTCTTTTGTTTTAGAATAACTTTTTATAAAAAGTTCGTGCTCACTTATTATGAGTAAGTAAAGCAATGGTTAATGTTTCTAAAAACTGGTAATCTTAATTTTATTACGATACAAATAGATAATCCTTATAAAAATTCTTTGAAATTCACAGTAATTTTTAGATTGTAAATGGGTTCTACAACCAAAAAAATCTGAGACTTGCTATTCTAACTGTATAGTTGCTTTTGAGGGCTTTTCCTCAGGACTGACACAAATGTCCTAGCCTTGCTTCTTCTGCTGCATTTTTTTCCTGACCTGGCAGCTTTGCTGATAGAGTGATAGCAATAAAGGAGTGAGATGTTTGTAATAAAGCAAGACATCTGTATATAAATTCATTATGCCTTTGTCTATATTCTATTATTTACTAACATTCAAAATAATAAAACAGATTGAGAAATGGGATTTGAAAGTAGGTTAGATGGTATCATAGGCCCTGTTTTATAGTCAGATGAAAATGTGTTCAGAGAGCACCGAGATAGATATACTATGAGTTGTAAAATTCATGTTATAAAACATGATGGTCTCAAAATTACTAAAGTAAGAGAATTTTAATATGTAATAATATCAGAAATGTAGAATGTATATGGTGATATATTGTTTATGATTTATTAAAGCCCCTGGAGATCAAAATTGCAAAGCAGCCACACTAGTTAGCTATAGAAGCTTTACAGTGGTGGTAAATACCTTTAATTCCACCACTTGGGAGGTAGAGGTAGACGGATCTCTGTCAGTTCAAGGCCACACTGAGCTACAGGAATTGTATCCAAACCTAAAGAGAAACAGCTTACACATGGATGATCTCAGCACTTGGGATCACATGCCTTTAGTCCCAGGAATCATGAGCGGTATTTAAGACAGGAACAGGGTCTCAGAGCTGGCATTCATTCTCCAGCCACATTGAGGAGAGGAAGGCATTGGATTCTCTGGTCACACTGAGGAAAGGCAGCAAGCTGAAGCTTGGTGAGAGCTCGTGGAGCCAGGATCAGCCCTTTCAGCCTGAGGTGGATGTAAGAGCTAGTGGATTGGCTGCTTTGCTTTTCTGATCTTCAGCTTGAAGCTTTGACCCCAGTGTCTGTCTCTGGGTCTTTTATTTATCGTGTATAAATGTGTGATGTCATGCTTATGCTTGCGTAGTTCTATTTCTGGATTATAGATGATTTCCCCTCTCTTCTCCCTCACCCTCTGTTTTCTACAGTGTGTGCATTATATTTTATCTTCATAGTCAGGAAGAAATACAATCAAATGCTATTGCAGGTAAAAAGATGTGCTGCAGAGTCGAGGGAGATGGCGCAGTTGTCAGAGTGCCTTCTGTAGAGGCGTGAGGGCTGGAGTCTGATCCTCAGAAGCTACGCAGAGCAGGGCATACCAGTATTGGGGGACTAGCAGAAAGATGCTCTGGCTGGCGGTCGTTAGCCAAGTCAGTGAGTTTGAGGTTTAGAGAGCGACCCTGTTTCAAAGAGGGGAGTGGGTGGGAAATGGCTCAGTCATTAAAGCGATTGCTATATAAGAACAAGAGGCTGAGTTCCGATCCCTAGCACCCATGTAAAAACTTGACACTTTTTGTAATCCCACAACTTGAGAGGTAGTGACAGACAAATTCTTGGGGCTCACTGGCCAGTCAGTGATGCTGAAGAGATAATTACAGGCTTGGATTAAAGGCAGTAAGTACATAGGTATGTGTATGAAATAGTTTTCCAACATTTAACATTAAAGGCTGTTTCTGATTGGCTTAATATGGCCTCTGTGTTTGAAATATCTCTTCTTGTCTCAGTAAATTAGTGAAGGCTTTTCTTAGAAGATCTTTCTAAATCAGCCCTGAGTTACACGAGATCAAGACAGTCAAGTAAAGGTATATAATAAATGTTTAGCAGTAAGGGCTAGGTCATTCTTTTTTATTGCAGCATGTTCTGAAAGCTCCATGTATAAAACTTCTCATGTTAAATCAGAGTCTTAATGGATTGTATCCTTGCAATCACAAAGAACTGACTTTTCATTCTTGCCCTTGTTATCAATGCTATGTAAATTGATAAACTTAATTAAATACTAATTTCTTCTTTAAAATGGGAATATTACTGCTGTAGGAGTGACCTCCCTGGGTTGATGTGGATCATCAACTTAAGTGTTTAGTGTATCATCTCCTAGGACTCAGCAGGTCTTTCCACCTCTGCTATCATCGTTTAAAGTGGGGCTTCTTTCAGGCAGTCTTGGCTCAAGTGGGTGAGCTTTTAGGTAATAGTGGGCCTGATGCTCCTCTCTGGCTGTTACACTTAGCTTCATGTGCCAAGTTACCTACTGGGAGTGAGGATATCTAGGAAGTAAAGCTAACCTTACTATTATGACAGTATATTACTTGAAGATCAGTAATTGCATCTGTTTGCATCATGATTTTTTCTTTTTAAATCTGTAGGCATCCGTGGAGAGATCAATGTTGTGGTCAAAGTCGACCTCTTCAACGACTTAAACAGGTTCAGACAGTCATCATGCGGGGTCAAGTTCTTCTGCAGTGAGTTCACGCACGCATTGTCTTGTTGAACAGGAAAGTTTAGTACTTCTCAGGTGGACTAATGGAAAAAGTGTTAATTCGGTTTTGATACCAGAGACGAAAATGTTCAATTTCTAGAAACAGTCACTGAAGCTCTGTGACTGTTTATTTGGTTTTTAGAGTAAATGGTGTCTAAGTTTTACAAGTCATAGAGGGATACTCCCTCAGCCTAGACACACGGGGGAGGGCCTAGACCCTATCCCAAAGGATAGGACAGACTCTGAAGACCCCCTATGGAAGGCCTCACCCTCCCTGGGGAGCAGAAAGGGGATGGGATAGGGAGTTAGTGGGGGGCAGGGGAGGAGGGGAGAGAGAGGGAACTGTGTGTGTGTGTGTGTGTGTGTGTGTGTGTGTGTGTGTGTCTACTCTGCAAGCTCATGCCAACATCTTGTTAGTGGGTCTCGCACCCCCAAGCAGTCGTCTTCAGTGCATGAATACGTTTTTTGAGGAAATAGTTAGGTGGGGATGTCCCCTTTTGAATCTTTCTAGATTTTCCTTACATCCAGTGATACATTTATGTAAATGAGTCTCATGTGCAGTGGACCGTGACTACTGCAGCAGTAGGTTTTGTAGCTGTGGATTTTGGTAGGAAGAGCAGGGCTGCAGGACTGTTCAACATGTTCAGAGAGTGGCTGTAGTAAGATGGAGAGAACGTTCTGTCTGTTACGTCAGCATCCACTGCCCAACTTTCATTTTGTTTTTTAGACCTAATTCATTTTTAACAGCATAGGTTTATGTGGTACTCTGTGATATTCTGATTTTGTTAAACTTCTTATTAAGCCACAATTTAATGTCTGTACCTGTTCTCTGGATCATAAAAAGTAAAGTTTCTATTTGCCATTCATGTTTTAAAAGTAATTTATTTAATTTTATTTTATGTGCATTGGTGTGAGGGTGTCAGGTTCCCTGGAACTGGAGTTACAGACAGCTGTGAGTGACCATGTGGGTTCTGGGAATTGAACCTGGGCATCCAGGGACCTAGCTGCTGAGCCATTTCTCCAGCCCCGATGTATTGCTATTCTCGTGTGAGAAAAGAGACAGACCTCACGACAGGAGATTGCTTTTAGGATAAAACAGATTTTCAAAGTTGTTTGAAAGCCTTTACAATTGCATTGAAGTTATGTAATGGATATTTTTGCATTACGTATCTAAAACATAAAGTCTGCATAGATACTTTTTACTTTTTATTTCTCCTTTTGTTTAGATGTCTATACTTTTTAAAGTTAAGTTTGTCTTTGTGGTTAATAGAAGGATAATAAGGTATTTATTTTAACAGCAACATCTATTCCGAAGTGCTACAGAGCTGTGGTCATCCATGGGTTTGTAGAAGAGCTTGTGGTCAATGAAGACCCAGAGTATCAATGGATTGACCGCATCCGCACACCAAGGGCATCCAATGAGGCCAGACAGAGACTGATTTCTTTGATGTCAGGTATTCTAGTAAAGCAGCATTCCTGTTGATTGACTTAGTTTTAAAATTCTCACTTTCCTTTTACTTGGTGCATGAAATTTCACAACAAAGTGTTGATTCCTTACCACAGATGCCATCCCATTGAACACTTAACAAGTGGAGATCTGAATCAGATTGTGTGTGTGTGTGTGTGTGTGTGTGTGTGTGTGTGTATGAACATGTGGACATGCAGGTGTGTGCACGACTGTGGAAGCCAGAGAACAACTTCAGGTATTCCTCAGGCACTGTCTAATAAAAAAAAAAAAAAATTTTTTTTTTTTTTTTGAATCAGGGTTTTGCATTGGCCTGGAACTCAGCAGGCTAGTTTGGCAGGCCAGTTGATCTCAAGGAAGCAACTTCCTCAGGATTCTGACTACAAATATAAGCCCCTCCTCCTCTTTCTCCTCTTTTTAACATGGGTTCTGGGAGTTGAACTCAGGTCCTCATTATTGCAGTACAAATTCTTCATTGATTCAGCTGTTCCTCTGGACCCTTGAAATTCTTGAGAACTGAGTACACAGCTCCTCTGCCCTCCTCTTGCCTGGCCAGCAGTGCATAAATGCCAGCAGACATGGAGCTTGTTCCTGTGTTTGTGTGAGTGTGTACTTGCCCGTGTGTGTGTGGCTGCATATGTATGCATGTGTGTCTGTGGGCCAGAGGGTGACATCTGGTTTTTCCCTTGATTGCTCTCCACCTTATGTTTTTGAGCAGGGTCTCTCATTGAATCTGGAGCTCACTGGTTGGCTCAAGTGGTTGCTCAGCAAGCCCCAGGCATCCTCCAACCGGCACTTCCCGCTGTTGGGATTATAGGGGGTTACTGTCATACTTGAGATTTTTAAAAACTATTTCTGTGTGTGTGTGTGTGTGTGTGTGTGTGTGTGTGTGGGTGTGGTGTAATTGAGTGTGTGTAATTGTGTGTGTGTGTGGGGTGCACATGTGCCATAGTGTGAGTGTCAGAAGACAACTTTTTGTTGTTGTTGTTGTTGTTGTTTTTCGACACAGGGTTTCTCTGTGGCTTTGGAGGCTGTCCTGGAACTTGCTCTTGTAGACCAGGCTGGTCTCGAACTCAAAGAGATCCGCCTGCCTCTGCCTCCCGAGTGCTGGGATTAAAGGCGTGTGCCACCACCTCCTGACCCAGAAGACGACTTTTAGGAGGTTTCCTCTCCTGCCATATTGGTGCTGCAGATCTGAACTCAGGTCCTCAGGTTTGCACAGCAAAGACTTGAGGCATTGAATTTTCTGTCCATCCCCTAGATTTGGAGTATATCCTTTTCACTCATCCAAGTGTCTAACACCTTGGAGAGAGTGCAGAACCTAAGACTGTTGTTTTTAGTAAGGCACATGAGTGAGAGAGTGAGCATTTACCTAACATGCCTTGTCTTGTGGCCAGTAGCGTCTTACTGACTGAAAGTGGAGCCTGGACCAGATAACCCTTTAATTCCCATCAAATTCTGAGAATCCATGATTTTTAAGCTTTTGTTTCGCTTTGTTTTTATATTGCTATTATTGTATCTTTAAAAAGTATATAATATGCTGGGCGGTGGTGGCATATACCCTTAACCCTAGTACTCGGGAAGCAGAGGCAGGTGGATCTCTGTGAGTTCAAAGCCAACCTGGTCTGTAGAGTGAGTTCCATGACTGGCTCCAAAGCTACAAAGAGAAACCCTGTCTTGAAAAATACCAAAACCCAAAAAGAGTCTATCATATAGAGATATGACACTAACAGTGAGTTTCTTTCTTTCTTTCTGTAGGTGAATTACAGAGAAAGATTGGCTTGAAGGTCCTTGAGATGAGAGGCAATGCAGTCGTTGGGTATTTGCAGTGCTTTGATCTGGAAGGCGAGTCTGGGTTAGTGGTGCGAGCCATAGGAACCGCGTGTACTCTGGATAAATTAAGTAGCCCAGCAGCATTCCTTCCTGCATGTAATTCCCCATCCAGAGAAATGAAGGAGTAAGTATGAATCAGTGAAACTGTTCTCACGGAGGTTTTTATCCTTTACCTGGAAGTTTCATTTGTCCTCACCTTTGGTAGCAGTGTTTAACACGCAGTTTTTACTTGTGTGATTTTTCTTAAACTATTCAAGATCCTTAGACATCATCTATCTAAAGCATAAAACAGATATTCATGTCCTGTGTGGACTTTGCTTTCCTTTCTAGGAGTTGCTTAAATGTGGCTATACTGTTTGCAGTGTGTAAAGAAGACTGCAGATTGTCTTGTATGGGGTTCACAGGCTCTGGTGTTTATAGCCGACGGTTCATGACAATAAAACATTGGTTCTCATTACATAGTAATAGTGGGGTCTGTGTAAGGCAAGGTGGACAAAGCTCTCACTACTCTTCTCTCCTTCCTTCCTTTCTTCCTTCCTTCCTTCCTTCCTTCCTTCCTTCCTTCCTTCCTTCCTACTTCTCCCTTTCTCTCATCTTTTCTTTCCTGTTTTTGAGATCAGTTCTCACTTTGTTGTCCAGGCTGACCCAAATTTCTTTGGTTCAAGGTGTCTTTAGCTTTGCAAGAATGGGTTGGGGATGCCCAGTGCTATGCCTACTTAAGCAGACTTCTTTGAAAGGCCAGGTAGTAAATATTTTAGACACCGACAGTGTAGACTGTCTTTATTTATAAAATATAACAAAAACAGAACACACCCTCCTACCCAGTACCAGACAAAAACCAAAAACCAAACAAAACCATAACAACCACCAAAACCATAAGAAATCCCTGCATAGGAATTCCCAGTCTATGATCTAAGGGAATTTAGACTTATATATTGCCTGAAAGCTCTGTGCCTAGTGCCCTAGTCAGGGCTACTGTGGCTGTGATGAAATATTATGACCAATGCAACTTGGAAATGAGGACAAGGGCTCAGGCAGGGCAGGGACCTGGAGGCCGAGGTAGAGTTTTGCTTACTGGGGGTACTCCTCATGGCCTCTTTGGCCTGTTTTCTTGGAGAACCTAGGGCTGGGCCTTCCCCCATCAATCACAAATTAAGAATATGATCTATTGGCTTATCTACAGCCCAATCTTATGGAGGCATTGTCTCAGGTGAGGTTCCCTTCTCTTAGGTGACCATAGATTGTGTCAGCATAAAACTAGCCAACACTCCTTGCAAAGCTCATCTCTATGATTGACTTGGCCTGTGATTTTTCACTTGTATCAAAGGAAGAGTGTTGAGCGTGGCCAAAGGGGCCGGGGGTGGCTTAGATATCTCTGATCTGAAAGTATGAAATCTGGAATACCTCTAAAATAGGAAACACTTTGGATAGCAGTCTTTAAGACCTTTGGGTTTTGGAGCATTTCGATTTTTGGGTTTTTATGTTAGAAGCACTCCTGGTGATGTCTCTTAAATACTCTAACTGAATTGTTAATGGAGAATGTTTGAATGACAATTTCTTTTTCCGTTGTAATGATTATGTTGAAAGTCTTGTTGGGGACCAGAGATGCTGTGAATATGTGGTTGGAACAACTCCATGCAAGCGAAGTAACACTTGTTCTATGCTGGAGCCGTTAGAGATAGTTCTAGGTTAAGAGTTGGGAAACTATGTGCCCAGGAAGGAGAGTAGATAACTTAGCTTTTGCTGATGCTACTATGTAACTCTACTGTTGTAGCAGCACAACATATAAACTAGTGAACACTTCTGTGCTCCTGTAAGGCTTCCTTTACAAAGTAGATGGGAGGTAGATTGGCCTCGGGCAGTAGTCTGCTGACTTCTTCCCAGTTGAGGTTATCAGGGGGTCAAAATCTATAGATGGAGAATCTAACCCATTTCCTAGGTCAGCGTTAGTCAGCTGAGGGCAAAGGGAAACAATCCCACTTCTCAAAGAGGTTTTTCCTGTGGTCTTTTTGAAAAATGAAGTTTTCTTTATGCTGAGAGTGTACTTGGTTAGCCCCTCCTTTGATGGTCTTTAAATTCTGAACGAAGGATTTAGCACAGTGGTACCAGATTGTACTTAGAAACATACTTACAAATGAAATGGTTTAAAAAGTTGTAACCTCAGTTTGCTTTATATTCTATTTAAAATGTGTCCTAAGGCTGTGAACGTTGCTCAGCGGTGTGTAGAGTGTTTGCCTCACAAGCACTATAATAAAAATGAGAGTGTCAACTTTGAGCTGAAACAGGTAGAGTTAGATACAGGCAGCTTCAGCCCCTGTCCCCCTCCATACCAAATGTAATTTAAAGACTTGCTTCTTGAAGCCAATCACCATGATACGTGCCTGTACTCTCAATGCTTAGGAGGCTGAGGCAGGAGACTCTCCAGTCGGAGGCCAGCCTGGGCTACTTGGTAAGATTCTGCCTCAAAATACATACATACATACATACATACATACATACATACATACATACATACATCCCCCTTATCCCCCCCACTCAAAGACCTGAGTTGTCTGTTGCCACCATGTAGTTTTATCTACACTTCAGAATCCCTGGCTTCTGCAGGTGCATCTCAGAAGTAGTCTGTATACTGACTGGGGTTTTGAGTGAAAAGAAAAAAGTGTTTTACTTGGCGCTTTAGAAAGGGAAACCACAGGGTTGTGTTTTATGTGCATTCATGAAGAGACCCTCAGTAAACCCTGGGAGAATTGTTTCTCCTTTTCTCTCACAGCCATTTACTTTAAACTGTGAGACTAGAGTGATTTGTTCTACCCTGCATTGTTAGGGTCTTTGGAAGGCGTCTTACAATGTAGGCCACGTTTGGAAAGCCCCTTGGGATATAGGCTGCTCTGTTGCAACTGGCTATACTGTATTTGTAATAAAGGCATCAGTTTGGGTGATAGTTTAAAATTCATTATGATTTAGATTATTATAACTAGCCTTTGGCTATTGTATAACACTGTTGGTTTTAGATTGGAATTTGGTGAAAGAAAACAAGTCACCTAAATGAGTGAAAGACGAGAGTGGATGGAATGGACTTCACAATGGAAATGTGTTATTTGGGGCAAACTTTGCTACAAGGAGACTGGTAGAACTCTGAGCGTATATCATGGTAGTGCTCCAGTGTGTTTGAACTTTGGTTTAGTAGCATACCAGAAAGCACACACATGCTTTCTTGTGTGCACAGATCTGTGTTGTAGACTCTCCAAGTTGAAGAATTTGAAGGCCCCTTTTCACGTTAGAGGAGAGAAGAGCTCCACTCACTCAGTTGTGCGTATAAAGCAGACCACCTACCTCTAAGAGGTTTAGTGTGTCAGTTGTCCTAAGCACACTTTATTTTCACTTTAGGGGAGAGAAGAGCTCCACTCACTCAGTTGTGCGTATAAAGCAGACCACCTCTAAGAGGTTTAATGTGTCAGTTGTCCTAAGCACACTTTAGACTTTGTTAGACACAGCAGAGCATCTGTCCCATTGAGTTTGAGAGTTGTGTCCCTTGCTGTCCACTTGCTAGACGATCCTCTTTTTTTATTCAGTGTGTGTTGTATGTTAAAGGCTGAGCTGTGCCTATTCAAACCTAGTCACTTCCCTCATTTTCTCTTCTTGCTGACAGTTCTTATATATTCTTAAGTACCTCTGTCTTGAAATTCTAGTCCTAAAAACATAAATAATTGCTAAACTTTCTTCATAGAAAGATATCATATCTTAGTTTAAAAGAACATGACAGGCTTTCACTTTTATGGGTGTTTTCTTCCCATAAACATAATAGCAAGTCCTTTTTTGATGAAAACAAAAACGTTTGTTAATAAAAACTTAAAATTCAAGTCTTAGTAGTCTTCTTAGTTCCATTGACAATTATACTTGCTGTTTTTCTTATTTACAGTTCTTGATTTATTAATTTGATCCTTTAAAATTATATACTAACACATTAATTACTGACTGCTCTTTTTAATTTCAACTTTTTGCATGCTAGGGATTAAAAAATAAGTTTTCTCCCTTAACAAAAGCTCCTTCAAAAATAATTTTAACATAACTTTTGCAATCTGTTGTATGTATTGTTTTCTTTTCTTCCACTTTGACCACAAATTCCTTCAGGTCTCCGCTGGTTCATCCTCCAAGCCATGGATGTCGCTCGACTCACAACAGCCCAATTCACACTGCTACTGGCTCACGACTTACTCAGAACTTCTCTGTGTCTGTTCCCACTCTCATCTATACTGGTACGAGACTGCTCAGACTCCAGAGCTGGGGAGAGGCAGGCCACGGGCAGAGTGGCTGCAGAGGCAGGCAGGCAGGTAGCATAGGCAGGTACCACAGATCTTTGCTTCTTCCCTTTCTTACTTTAAATCTAGCTTCAATGAAGGACTTCTGTTTAGCTGACACAAAGGCTCTGACTATGGAAGCGAAGGTGTTTTTCCAGCTTCCAAAGTCTCTTCCACAGATCCTTTCAGAGCCCTATGATTTTGTGGATTGCATTCTGAGAGCCCTCCAATTGCATGTTCTGTGACTATTTCCGTATTTGTTTAGAACTGAAATTGATAATGCTTCTAATGAAGCAGACATTGACACTTTGATTTGCTTATTTCTTTATGTATTAAGTCTGTAGGGTTTTGAAATGATAGGGTCTGTTTCATTCTGTGGAAGAGAGCTATTGGAAAACAGGTAAGCAAGTATCTGCATCAGATGCAGGGTTTGTGTGTAGCTCTGCTTACTGTCCTCTCTGCTGTGTTTTTAGCTGTGGCACTCTGATGCTGTAGGATAAGGAAACAGACTTTTCTTTTGGAGATACTCGAGTGTGTGTAAATATGAAGACAGTTAAGGATATTTCCACACACCATTTGTGGCCATAATTTTCTTTTGTAACTTACAAAGCATTTGTTTAAATATTTTGTCATTTATTTACTCTTTTTATTTTTCCCATTTAATATATATGTTTTAACCCCCATTAGTCTACCATCTCATGCTTCTTTGCTTTTCCACTTGGCTTATTAACTGTTTCAATGCAGATAATATTTATCTGGAGGATGATGAATGGTTAACAGCAGCTCGTTGTCTTTGGCCTCACTCCCAGCTCCACACTTAAGAAATGACTGCCGGCCCCACCCCAGTTCTTTCCTGATGTTTGGATCATGCTGCCAACTGTCAAGGCCTTTGGCACATGATTGCTTAATGTGTCTCCACCTTCTTCTGGCAGGAGTCCCTTCAATGAAGATCCCAACCCCAATCCTCACTCATCAGGACCCTCCACCCCTCTGAAAAACCAAACTTATTCCTTTTCACCTTCCAAGTCCTACAGTCGACAGTCCTCTTCTTCTGACACAGATTTGAGTTTGACACCCAAGACTGGTAAGGCACTTCCACCCACCTTTCGTGTTGCCTTTAAAACTTGTTTCTGTTTCTTACGAGCGTCCCATCCAAGTCTTTCCTCCTGTTTCTGCATTTGAGTTAAACATGAATGTGAATGCTGATCATTTCAGTTATTAAAATTAAGTTTCTGAAAAGACAGTGTTTGGAGAGTGACATTTTAGCCAATGTAATCATTGTTGATATCAAGTCCCAAATTAATTTTGGGTGTTGACTGTCTTCATTTCATATTCAGAGTCAGAGGAGTGCCATCCTAAGGCATTCCAATAGTCACCTTATTTTCAAATTGCTTTTTGAAACGTAATTCTTGAGCATATGATTAATTTATTCCTTATTTATTCTTATTTCAGAATTTAGTTTTGTGTTTTTATTATGGAAACATTTCAGAACTGGAATGATTATATTGCAGTACAGATGTCTGTCCATCTGCTTATTGACTTAAGGTTAGGTCAGTGTGAAGTATTGTCCTGAGTTTAACTGGAAAAACAGAAAAAAAGAAAAATTAAAAAAGAGGAGAGGAATAGATGACATTGGTCACATCTGTTTAACATGTTCACACGTTAACTTAAAAGATAATGTAGCCGATCAGTGGTGGCACACGCCTTTAATCAATCCCAGCAGAGGCAGGCGGATCTCTGTGAGTTCCAGGACAGCTAGGGCTACACAAAGAAACCCTGTTTCAAAAAACCAAACCAAACCAACCAAACAAACAAACAAAAAAGACAATGTAAATAGTGAACTATTCAGTTATTAGAATTAATTTTTGTAGAGGAATTACTTTGTTTGGTGAGTGACATTGAACTCTTGAATCATTGTTGACACTGAGACCATGACTCAGGGTGCTTACCTTTCTAGGCTTGCTCTCCAGGTTGAGACTGCCTTTTAAATTTCCTCAGCCTAAATATTTTTTAATTCATTAAATTTATAATTTTCCCTCTCCTGTTTGTCCTATGAATGGTTTGTGGAGTTTTGTCAATGTTTTTTGATAAAAAGTTGATAAAAGGTTAAATTAGCTTCTAATATAAATTATAAATTAAATTATTTAAATAATTTTTAAAGAAAGATTGAAAACTTGCAGATTTACTATTCTAGTATTTTAAGTACTATTTCTGGCAGTTTTCATATCAGATTGATCAAAACAATTTTTATTTATATTATTTTGAATTTATCATCATTAATAACCTTTCATGTTTTATTTTAGTATAGAAAAGGAATATAAAAAACGGACCCAGATCTTGTGAAAACAAACAAGACAAAATGTTACACCCAAAGCAATATTTATTATAGACTAAATTTCTGTCTTCCTTTCTTTTTTATGGTCACAGAGTATAACCACCTATTTTTTTCTCTTTATTTTTATTCCCATCCCCGCCACACCTCTCCAGCACTGTGTATCTTGACAGTTGCTTTATTTCTAAGTATACACTTAGTCGACTCTGCACCTGGCCCCAGTCAAGCACCTTTCGTTCTTGTCAGGTGATGCAGCATTAGATGATCTCCTCCGCTGACTGCATGGGGTATCATGAGCAGCGTAAGATGGCTCAGCATAGACAGGAGCACACGCGTAGGTTATTTGCAGATAATACCCCACATTTCATAAGAAACTGTAAGAAGGTGGTAATGGTGGCCCCAGCACCAGTCCCTACAGATGCTGAAGGCTTACTGTATGTAATTATAACAGTTAAAAATACAGTAGTATTTTATAGTGGTGAATGCTTTGGAATGTGGCATTTTAGCTGTCAATTGTGCCATAAAAATTGAACCATTCAAATTGTAATGAAATGCAAAAAAAAAAAAAAAAAATGGAATAAGAGACTGGCCATAGTGTTCACGATGTCAGGACAAGACAGAGTCAGGATAGAGTTGTCCCCTCTTACCCCCTCTCTGTTGGCACTGGACACGGAACTCGGCACAGCATGCATTCCGGGCCAGGGCCAGCATCCCACCCCTCTGCTTCATCCCCAGCCCCTGGATGCTTTTGTGAAGTTGCTGAGGCAGGTCTCTGAATGTTGTGAGCTGAATGTTGAGTGTAGCTGGGACTCTGGGTGTGCGCCCTCAAGTCCAGTAAGATGTAACAATGATTTTAAGGCTCCGGCTACTCACTCTAGGCTGCTTTTCAGTACACTTACTCATTACTTTTTCTCAGACCATAGATAAAGTTTTGACAGTGCTTTCTTGGCCTTTTTGTTTTTTAATTTCTACAAAAGGCCAAATCTAAAGATTTGTTCAGACAAGTGATTGAGCCAGATCTCTCAAGCTTTCTGACTGGCATCATCTGGACTAGCCATGACCTTTGTAACACTGGTTCTTAAAACCTCGTTTATAAAATGGTGTGTTGTTGCAACATATTACTGATAAGCTGACTCTGAGTGCTTTTATTACTACGCTCACTTGCCTCAGCAGCTTACTGTCCATCAGCATCTGCAGACTCCTGGCCTTGCTGTGACTCCTTTGACACCTTTCAGTGGCCCAGAGAGGTGGGCACTCCACTTCTCTGTTAGGAAATGGCAGAATAATGTTCTTAAATTTCTAAAGCTGTGACTCAGTGTGTGTCTTTCTCTGCTTTCCAATTTCCTACATTCAAGAACCAGTCTTCTGAGAAATAGTGGAATAAACTGATTATAATTCATTTATTATTTACAAACCAAGAAGTCAAAAATAGAACAAACGTAATAAAGGTAGCCTGAGAAAGTTATTTTGCTGTTTATAATGAACACTGTTTTTCTATTTGACTTCTTAAGTTTTTTTCTTATTAGAATCTAATTGATAACATTTTAAAGAATGAGACTTTAAAAATGTTGTCTCAGTAGCAGTGAAAATGTTGAATGCTGGTGGATGACAAAGACTTACACACTTGATCCGGGGTTAATTTTACTTTCTTAGATAGTCTGTTACTGTATATACTTCTTACTGTTCACAGGGTTTTTAATCTTTGTGTGTGAATCTCTGTAAATTTGCCTATGATCAGGTTAAGTTATGAAAAATTGTAGAGGAAAAGTAAAAGGTTTAATTTTTACCTCAAAAATAGAAAAAACTGACTATTTTGCATTCATAATGCCATACTCTTTATTTTTTAATGAATAGTCCATTAACAGAACAATATGCATTATCTTAGCTGGTAACATTTGCCGGTACCAAGCACTTTAAGTGTTTGTTACTGAAGCAACAAGTTTCTCATCATAATACTAACAAATGGTGCTATGCAACCATGCAAAGTTCTTAGACACACAACCAAACAACAAAATTTGATGGGCAATTTAAGTGTTTGAAAAAGTCAGTTAAAAGTGTTGTAAATGGCATAAACATCTTGCTAGTTATTTAAAAAATGTTTTAATGACTACAGAGTTTGAAAGGGCTCTGTTAATTTAGAAGGTATCTTTGGTTTCCATTGTGTTGACTAGAGGGTTCTGGCGGGTGGGCGTTCTTAGGCTAGTGTTAATTTGTCTGCATTTGAAATCCATTTGACTGTTGTGTTTTGCTTCATCATTGCTTTCCTTCTCCTGCACTTTCCGATTCTCTGAATCTGCATCTCTGCTACTTTCCTCCACAGCGCCTTACCCACAGGGGCCTGGCATCTACCTGTGCCCCAGCTCCACCCCCCTCTCTTGTGGTTCCCTTCACCCTAAGTCCCGCCTCCTCTCGGAAGCTAGCCTTACCCCTCATCACTGTAGCCTTGTCAGCCCCGTTCTGAGGAAAAGTGTTTCTTTCAGTGAAGAGCTGTTCCTGGCTGCTTCTGGTAGGATCACATTATGTCAGCTTTTTTAATCCCTTTATTTTAAGTCATCTTTGAAAACATTTATTTTGTACCATAAAGAATGATTGTGTGCTTTATATGTCTATAAGTTATTTTACTAGCAGTTGATCAGAATTACAAAGATGTCATTGGAGGTTGGTATTTGGTAGGTAGTTATGAGGAGGCACTGAACTTTATACTTGAGACGTGGCGTCTCGGGACGTGGATGTGGACGCTCCCTGTAACTGTCGCTCCCTGGTTCTCACTCGAGCCACTGCTGTCGGTGCTCGGCTCCTTCTCTCCATTCCTGCTCCACCCACATCCACCGTGCCAGCCTGTTGCTAACCCATAAGGCTACAGGAGAAAATTATTCTGTTTGAACCAGTTTAAGTCTCATTTTGGTAATATTCGTTTATTATACCTTTTTTTTTCCTGTCCACTACATTAATCAAGTTATTCTGCTATGTTTTCTGGTAATTTATTTATCACTGCAAGCTTACCTTTTATTTTGTGACTTTTAATGCGCTTCATATAAAGATCTTAGTTTTATTTCCAGTTAGCATTGTATAGTCTCTAAAAATGTTTAGATTACTATAAGAAAAAATTATTTTTTAAAGAACAGAATGGGACTACACACATGCTAACCTTTGTTTCCTTATCCAAGAACAGCTAAAAATGTAAACATGAATTAGCTCCTTTGGAAGGCACTGCAGTGAATTTGACCGTATGCATCTTAGTGTAGGAGGCTGGGGCTCACCCTAGTCGAGCAGCGCTAGCCTCTCACCCATTCCATTTCCATGCAAGCCTTGGGTCAAATTGTGGTGCTGTCAAAACGGCAGGGAAAGAAATGCGGAGTAAGCCTAAGGAAATAGAATTCTTCCACCCCTGACTGCATACATTTGAGATGTATTTACCTGTGTGTGGTTTTTTTCTTCATAAAACTGTGTTGATTTTTGTCAGTGAGCACACTGTTGTAGTGTGCTAGCCACCATCTTCAGAGGTGGGCCTCAGCAGAAAGTAGACTTCATTCCGAATGCTGACTCCATGTTCTTTAGCTCTCTTGGGGTATTTTAAATGAGCAGTTAGTATGCTTCTTTTCTATATTCAATAAGGTATCTAGGTGTGCTTAAATTGTTAGCATAGAAATAGTTATTCTTTTGATTATTTTTATTAAAAGTCTCATTTTAAATATTGAATATTATCAATGATTTGTTACCTTTAGCATTCTTATTAGAATAAATTGATTCTAAAACTAGCTGTGACCAGAACTTTGATGTCTTGCTTTAAAGAAAGTCTTAGTATAGTAGAGTAAAATGTGTGTGTTAGTTGTCATCTCAAATATGTGAAATGTGTAGATGATTTTCTTGTACTTGACTCATACTGTTTATAAGTTGAATGCAGTTGAAATGACTGTCTCATGGTTGTCATTTGGCTGTCACTTATGTGCTGATGTCCTGTAGGAATGGGAAGTGGGAGTGCTGGCAAAGAAGGGGGGCCCTTTAAAGCTCTTCTGCGGCAACAGACTCAGTCGGCATTGGAACAGCGGGTAAGACTCACTCAACTCTCCTCTCTGTCCTTGCGCAGACACTGTGGCTTTGTGCTGCTGTGTCATAAGCTTCCAGAGTTAATGATCAAATGTATTCAAGATAGCAAACTAATTTATTTACTAATACTTACTTTTAGTTGGAAAAATTCTGTAAGTTTTTTTGTTTTGTGTTTCAATCTTTAAAATATTTCTCCTGAAAAAACCCATTGAATGCTGAGGTCATTTCTATTTTTCCATTTAAGTTACAATTAAAAAAAAAATGGCTGATTTTCTTTTGCAGAAAAACATCTTAACATTACATTAAAATAATGCTCTAGTATGTTAACGTATTTATCTGCTAATACCATTTTTGTCACTGACTTGTTTATTAGACATAAGACATGTTCTGTATATCTGTAGATTAAAATTAATACAATGGTTGTCTAGTATATTTTTATTTTAATTATGCTTAATGTTTAGTTCATTTGTTGAGTGGGAAACTGTCTCTAGTTTTTGGATGATTTTTCTCTCTCTCTCTCTCTCTCTTTATAAACATCATTGCTAAGGGAGGATCGCCTCATAGGTTCTGTAGAAGGCGGGTATGTTTCTGAACATGTGTGAGAGTCTGCTCCTTGTGTTAGAAGCTTTCTACTTTTAATCTCGTTCACTTAAGTTTCATTTAAGCTTGTAACAGGTGCTGCTGGCTTTTTCAGGGCTTCGTGGGAGGCTTCTGTTTTTTTCTGTGAACGAGGTGCATGGTTCCATGTGTCCTGTGCTGCGCTCACACAGCTCCACAGCTCTCCTCTGCCTGCTTTGGAAGCTGTAAGCACGCAGAGAATCTCACTTTGTTTGTTTATTTGATGTCAGCACTTGTGAGAGAACAGAGGTGAGGCAGTGAGCACCATATAAGGCACACCTCCTTTCTGTAGTTGGCCTCTCAGAACAGTTGGTGTTTTCCTGGTTCTATGACTGCAGACATTGAGTTTATTCTGTAGGCAATTTTTTTTTCTCATGCTGCAAGTAGCTATATATGTACTGTGTACCTTTTAGACAGGGTGGAGTGAGCAGAGCTGAAGTATAGTCATGAGTTGAGCTCTACCGGGGTCTCTATTTTCTTGCAGTACTTGAGATTGAGCCCAGGGCCTTGTACATGCTGGGCAAGCACCTCCCACTGAGCTGTGTCCTCAGCCCCCACTTCTTTGTTTTGTACCCCATTAAACTGCATTGCTCTTCAGCTGCTCCTTTCTTGGCAGCACAGCAACCAGTACCACCTAAGGTGCACCTAAAATAGTCATGTCATGGACTGAATCAAACAGCCAGAGATTAGGAGTACGGAGGACAGGGTCAGAGTGGAGGTGTGGCTGTCGTTTTAGGCCAGAATGGTTTTATCTTTGCCTTCTTTTTTTTTTTTTTTTTTTTTTTTTCTCCAGTTGCCATTTTAGAATTTACATCAACAGAAAAGCTTGGGAAACATTCAAGTCATTTTGGATTTGTGGGCTTCTTAAAATTTTGTTTTTGTTTTTTGAGACTAATCTGTAGTCTAGGCTAATGTGGATCTCACTACTTAGCTCAGGCTAGCCCCAAACATATAATCATACTGTTTTAACTTTGCAAATGCTAGGATTGCAATGCCTAGGTAAAAGTTGTGTGTGTGTGTGTGTGTGTGTGTGTGTGTGTGTGTGTGTATGTGTGTGTGGGTGTGGGTGGGTGTGGGTGTGTTTTTTTTTTTTTTTTTTTTTTTTTTTTTTGAGACAGGGTCTTTCCACATAGTCAAGGCTGTCCTGGGATTTACTATGTAGACCAGGCTGACCTTGAACTCGGAGATCTGCCTGCCTCTGACTCCCAAGTGCTAGGATTAAAGGCGTTCGTCACCATGCCCAACCCATACCTTTACCTGTTAAGTGCTGAGATTCTGAATTCTAGGTGTGTGCCACAGCAGTGGGCACATTTCTTTCTTCTTCTTTGAGAAAGAGTTTCTCTGGGTAGCCTTGGCTGTCCTGGAACTTGCTCCATAGACCAGCCTGGCCTCGAACTCATAGAGATTTGCCTGCCTCTACCTTTGGAGTGCTGGGATCAAAGGTATGCACCTGGTTTCAGAGTTTTGTTTTTTGTTTTTTGTTTTTTATTAGTTCAAGTTAGGGAACAAGCTTGTTTCACATGTAAGTCCCTTCTCCCTCTCCCTCTCCTTCTCCCTCCCCTCACCCCCATCCTTCCTCTTCCTCCCCAACCCCAACCTACCCCCCACCCCATCCACCCACCACTCCCCAGGCAGGGTGAGAGCATCTCTCCATGTGGAATGGGCTCCCAAATGTCATTTGTATTCCAGGGATAAATGCTGATCCACTACCCAAGGCCCCATATATTGACGAGGCCCCCTCACTGATACCCATGTTCAGTGGATCTGGATCAGTCCTATGCTGGTTTCCCAGCTATCAGTCTGGAGTTCATGAGCTCCGCCTTGTTCACAGCAGCTGCTTCTGTATGTTTCACCAGCCTGGTCTTGACCCCTTTGTTCATCACTCCTTCCTCTCTGCAAGTGGGTTTCAGGAGTTCTGTTCAGTGTTTAGCTGTGGGTGTCTGCCTCTGCTTCCATCAGCCATGGGATGAAGGCGCTAGGATGGCATATAAGGTAGTCATCAATCTCATTATAGAGACAGGGCATATAAGGTAGCCTGTCCACTATTGCTTAGGTTGCCAGTTGGTGTCATCCTTGTAGATCTCTGGGAATCTCAATAGTGCCAGATCTCTCCTCAAACCTATAATGGCTCCCTCTATTATGGTATCTTTCATCCTGCTTTCCTCTATTCTTCCCCAACTCAATAGTTCTACTCTTCCATTTCTTCCTCTCCTCTCCTCTTCTCCTCCTCTCATTCTGGCAGCTCCCTCTCACTCTCCCCTTAGCTCCCAATTAGCTCAGGAGTTCATGCCACTTCCCATTCCTGGGGACCATTTATCCCTTAGAATCCTTCATGTTCCTAGTTTCTTTGGTGAAGAGGATTATAGGCTGGTAATCCTTGGCTCTGTGTCTAAAATTTATATATGAGTGAGTACATATCATGTTTGTCTTTTTGTGACTCAGAATGGTTTCTTCTAGTTCCGTCCATTTGCCTGCGAATTTCAAGATTCCATTGCTGTTTTCTGATGAGTAGTACCCCATTGTATAAATGTACCACATTTTCTCTATCCATTCTTCAGTTGAGGGGCATCTAGGTTGCTTCCAGGTTCTGGCTATTACAAACAATGCTGCTATGAACATGGTTGAACATATGTCCTTGTTGTATGAACATGCACTATTTGGGTGAGGAATGGCTGGATCTTGAGGTAGACTGATTCCTATTTTTCTGAGCAACCGCCATACTGATTTCCAGAGTGGTCTTATAAGTTCACACTCCCACCAGCAATGGAGGAGTGTTTGTGCTTTAAAAAAATCATTTTTTTTTGTTTTGAGATACAGTGTTGTGTAGCAGAGAGTGGTCTCAAACACACTGTGTAGTTAAGAATGACCTCCACCTCTCAAGTGCTGGGTTATAGCATACACCAACACACTGGGCTTCTACTGTACTTTATTTATTGTTTTCTATTCAAACCATTTTTTATTTAAATTAGAAACAAGCTTCTTTTACATGTCAATCCCAGTACCCTCTCCCTCTCCCTCTCCCTCCCCTCCTTCCCTGCCCCCTACCCATCCCCTATCCTAACCCCTTTCTAACTTCCTAGGGAGGGGAGGCCTTCCATGGGGATCCTCAAAGTCTGTCCTATCATTTGGAGCAGGGCCTAGACCCTCCCCCATGTGTCTAGACTGAGGGAGTATCCCTCTATGTGGAGAGGGCTCCCAAAGTCCATTTGTACACTAGGGATAAATACTGACCCACTACCAGAGGCCCCATAGATTGTCCAGACCTCCAAACTGCCCTCTTCGTTCAGGGGGTCTGGAACAGTCCTATGTCTACTGTACTTTAAAAAACTGTATTTGAGTAAATTTTAAAATGTATTTTTTTGGGGGGGCAAGTGTGTGGGTGCATCAATGCTGTGATACACTTATGGAGGCCAGAGAATATGGCACAGGCCTGGCTTTTCTCCTTCTACCATGAGGTCATCGAACTCAGGTTGTCAGGCTTGGCATCAAGTGTCTTTACCCACTAGGCCTTTGCTGGCCTCTGAAGTGCTTTTAAAGACTTGAAAATCTTGGGCAAGTCAGCACATTGGACTTGTTACTGGACAGTCTTCAGAGGATTAAAAACAGAGGTACTGAGAGCTGCAGTTTTTGTATGTAACTATAAAACCTGACATGTAACTGCTACGGTTTTGCATCTGAACCTTCCTTATAGGCAGTGGTGGCCCCTTGCATTTCCCTGAGTTCAGAAGAAGCAGCAAAAGCTGCAGTGTCTTTGGCTTTTCCAGTTACCTCTGGCTGCTACTGCTGTCCCTTCTGTTTGAGAAAAAAGTTATGCATTAGTATAGTAAGTCCTCTGCAGAAGTGTGCAGGTGAACAGGAACACATCCGTGTGAGGACGTCCTCAGAGCATTGGATGTCCTTGTCTTAGTGTGCATGAACACATCCGTGTGAGGACGTCCTCAGAGCATTGAACACCCTTGCTTTTAAAGGTATTCACATAGCTTTTTAGCTGTTTTTTTTTTTTTTTTTTTTTTTTTTTTTTTTTTCTCTTCAGTAAAGAAAGCTGGAACAGGATCTGAGGCACACACCTGCAGTCCCAGCACTCACAATCTGGGGCTGGTGGATTCTGAGTTCAAAAGCAGCCTGGACTACATGGGGAAAGGAGGAAAGAAAAGGAAATGAGACAGAAAGGAAAGGAAAGGAGCCCAGTGAACATAGGAACTCACCTATTCCCAAAGAGCACACTTTTGGGAAACATGGATGAAAAGTGCATTTATAATGAATTAAGATCTCCTCAGAAGTGGGATGAGATTGTATGATGAACCATTACAGGGATCTAACATGATGTGTTTGTATGTCTGACGCTGTGCACATGTCTGTGTGTGTGTGTGCTCGTGTGTTTGTATGTCTGACGCTGTGCACATGTCTGTGTGTGTACTCATGTGTTTGTATGTATGTGTGTATGTGCTCCTGTGTATGTTTGCGGAGGCCAGCTGGAGTCATTGGATCCCTGGACATGGAGTTATAGGTGGTGTGAGCTGCTTGGCATGGGTGCCAGGAACCAGATCTGGACCCTCGGGGCAGCAGTGCTCTTAACTGCTGAGCCATCTCTCCGGCTTTAGCATGGAGTTTTTAATCTAGAAATTTACTGTGTCTCTGGGGATAACAAAATAATTGATATAAAAATTGAGCCATTTATATATCTTTGAAGAAAAACCCCATGTAAATCTCTTGAAAGTAATACTTCTGCTATGTTTTATTGATTTTTTTTCAACTGCCTTTCTTTAAACACACACTATCAAATATTTTTGTAATCTGTGCTCTTGGCATATATCAAAGCATCAAAAAGTAAAATCCACCTGGGGACAACAGGAAGGCTACTTAACACATTGATGAACGTTCTGGAGAACGTGTCCGTTTCAGTTTCTCAAACCGACATTCAGATATTGAGAGCAGAGTGTGCTTGGACTGATGTTGGGGAAGATGCCTTTGTCAGTGCAGGGAAGAAAAGAGCAACACTCTGAATTCAACAGGCATAATGCTCAGACTGTAAATTAAACCACGCTCTGGATGATACTTATGAGAAATAAGAACAAATATAGGTGATGATGTTTATTGCTAAGGAGTATAGGAATAGAAGGCCTTGCCATCCTCCGCTTTCTAAAACATGGGGTTACAGCAGCACCTGTCTTGTGGTTGGGGCAGATTTGAAAGTCATTTTTTGGACTTAACATAGGCCCTGGCATGGACAGCAGCTGCCAACAGTCTCATGATGTGGAGACGGCTGAGCTTTCTGCTGTCAGTAACAGCAGAAACTTCTTTAATTGGAGATGACTTTGCAGATGGACTTTGGCCCAAATAATTCTAATAGTTTTTTGCTTATTGCCGATGAAATCTCAATTTTAAAAGTGAATTGGTGTGCTGGCTTGATGGACTGGGGTCATGTTAAGAGACGTTCCATCTGTGGAGCAAGCTGGTTATTTTCTGCTCTGACTTGCTTTAGTATAGAACTTTCTGGCTCATTCTTTTTTAAAATCTGCCTCTCTCCTTCCCCCTCTCACTTGCTTCCCCCCGTCCCTCCCTCCCACTGTCTCTCCATCTCTTTTTAGATGATCACACCTTGGGCCCTGCACAAGCAAGGCAGACTCTATACTAAGTTACTGTCCCCAGGGCTAGAAGTCCTGTTTTCCATTTAGCTTGTGAACATTTTGTTTACAGTGGTTCTTGTTTTAATACTTAAACGATGAGTGTATAAAGAATAAGTATAAAGTACATTTTATTCTTTGGGATCATCATATAACTTTGATATTTTTAAGAGACTTTTAAAATTTAAATGTTCCTAAAATTGAAAAAAAAAAACCTAGAAAATTCTATGGACCCAACTTAATACATTTTAATTACATTAACCACCTATATGTATTAAAGTATGAAAGTTCAGACAGAAATAAGGACAACTTTTTGACAAAAAGTGTATGACGTGCCTTTAGCCATGTAGTCCAGGTCAAACATAAACAGTTCTGTGGATTGCCTTTTTACTCTTCTTACACAGGGTAGCAGTTCTTACCTTATTACAGTAAAGATCACTTGTAGGTTTTGACTGGACTTTAATGTGTTTCTATCAATGCACGCCCGCTTGCACTTTTTACGTCTATGCATCCCGAGGCGTGCGGGACTGCTTCCCGTGCTGATAATTGCTAGTCCGGCTCTGTCTTGTGCCTTGTGCTTCAGCAGTCGGCCATCTTGCTGCTTTTATATGCGCCTGCTTTTAGTAGTAGCTCTTTCCTTTTGTTTGTTGCATTTAGTCTGCTGTGGCCTAGAAAATTCGATAATGATGACTTTTAGAATGGAAGTGTGTTAGCATCTGTAGCTCCTTTCTACCTGTGGCGATGCCTTGGGAATACAGTGCATGAACCTTACTTAATACCTGCAGTCCTCCTAGGGCTCTTTTGGGCTATTTCCCAGCTCTTATTAGGTTGAAAGCGGTCAGGACTGTTGGAAAGTGACTTCTGGTTAAGAGAGCCACATTCATCTCACAGCCAAGCAGGTCAGGTAGCCATCACCTTTTCCTCGAATCCACTTTTTCCATGGCACGTGGCCATGTTTGGGCACCCACAGACATTCCCCTCTCGTGCTGGTGCTCTTTCCCTATCCTGTCATTTTTCTTCTGAGTCGTGCTTGTCATCCTCTGGCAGAGGGGAGCCACATGCAGGACTGTGTTGCTTCCCCGACTGTTACCATGTACCTCTTTCTTCTGCTAACGTACAGTGTGTGGCTCTCTTTGCTTCCGGCCACGCAGTGATTGGCTCTCACTTCAGTTCGCTGTTTGCCTTTCTCTTTTTCACCCCTCGACACTGCCCACCCTCCCACCCCATGTCCCATACTCCCCTGTTCTAGGTCTCTTGTTACATGCAGGCGTTGGGAGTATTTGCCAATAGCCTGTGTTGCCTGTGTGTGAGAGACATCATTACTGAGAAATGCATATGGGTTGCGTGTCAGGCTGTCCAGCCCTGTGCCACAGGAGAATGTTTGAGAAGAGAGAAGAGTGTGTTCTAAGTAGCTCAGCTGGGGACTCTTGAACATTTCCCCTCAGTCAGAAATGACAAAGCAGCTGGATTCTGAATGTCACCTCGGATGTAGGGGAACAGATTTGAAGCCATGAGTGTATAGGAAATTTTAATGAAAAAGCAGGTGTAGTGTATTTATTTCAGGCCATGCGTTTCCTGTGCTGGGATCTGCATGAGCAGAGCCTTGTACTGTCCTGTTGGTCACCTGTGTCCTGTCCCTTGTCTTCACCAGGAATTCCCCTTCCTCACCCTGACGGCCTTCCCTCCTGGGCTCCTCGTACATGTCGGTGGCGTCGTTAGTGCACGCTCTGTGAAACTTTTAGACCGGATCCACAATCCTGGTACGTTTTCTAATAAGTTTGACTTTACTGCTTTTACTTAAGGTATGATTGGAAAAATTAATTTTTATGAATATTGAAAGCAAATTTAACCTGAACAGAGATGAAAACAGGTTATAAACTGGCACATGTAATTTTGAAATATTTTCAGTAATTGCAATTACAGGTAAGCTAAGAAGTATACATTAGTTAGTTTTAATGTACAGCAAATGAACACATTCCGACTTATTTCTGGCTGGGGTGTCATTTTGAGGGGATCATTCATTAACATTTGGGTTAGCCTTATATTTGCTTTGGGGAGATAAAGGTCTTTACTGTTTGGCCTTCATGGCCATTATGTTAAGTTGCTACTGGTTTTCACTTGTCCATGTGGCCAAACAAGGAGGAACAGTAGCTCCTGTCTTTAGCACAGTGTGGAAATGACACAGATGGCAGGTAGCTGAGTCCTGGCACTGTCAGGGCCTTGGATTAGAAACACCTGGGTGAGTTTTCTCCACAACAAGCATCACCAATGATGGGAGCCCTTAGGTAGATTTGCTGAAGCACCATAAACATGAAGGATGTTGGCATCTGTACTTTGGTAACTCGTCACTTCTCTGTGGTGTAGGGAAAGAAGGAAAGAATGCTCTGTAAGTACTGGGTGAAAACATTGCAGGTAGCGCTTTTGAGTATAACAGAGAATTACTATTCTTCACAGTGAAGTTTAATCAGTGCTCTGTGATTTGCTTTCACCTGAGAGTAAGAATGGAATTCTTCCAGCTGCAATGAGACTTCAGAAAGGCTATGCTAGTCATGCTTGCTTCTCTCTAAAGTGAGCGAATACATCATCTCAGCTCCAGTATTTTGTTTTCATTTGGTTTATTTTCCCCATTTCTTATTTTTATGGTCAGTGTAAGATCTCATTTTCCTTATGGTATTTATACACTCTGTACCACTTAGAGGGCAGTCCAACTGCTGCCATGTAGCACACTAAATTTGTGCAGATTGTGCCAAATTCTCGCTTTCTGTAGGAAATTCAGTTACCAGAAGTGTAAGGAAAGACCAGGCGATGAGGCCTGATGGTCTGTGCTCCACATGGATGGCTGACTGATGGTTTTATGGCTTTAAATGGAGATAATTGTCTTAAAATGTTACTTATTTTTACAAAATCTTTTTAAGAACTTATCATACCCACCAGTTCATTCCAGCCATACAAGAACTTAGAACCCAGGAGAGAGATCGTCCTCATAGAATGAGTTTTGTGGGCTGTAACTATCAGCTTACCAGTTTTCTCCTCCTTCCTCTCTCTCACAATAGCTGTCATCATGCCTGGGAAGTCTCAGTTATTGTTAATGGATTATTCTCAGAACTTCAAGTGCATATATATCTGTATCTGTATGTAAATACTATGAAATGGCATAGACTTACATTTTTAGTTTGCCTTGTTTTCAGTATAATACCTATCAAGTATTTACTCTAATGGTCCCTATATCTTACCTTGATTTCAAATAAACTCTCTTTGGATTCTTTGTTGTATGTATTAGGCACTGAGATGGAACATTTACCTAACAGCTTCTCCAAGCCCCCTGAGAAATTTTTATGGAGAAAAGATATCATTTGTTGAGAGAAGCTGGATGGATGGTTAATGCTCTGTGAAGCCCTGGCTTGGACCAATCCCGTCGGCACTGTGGCGGCATGGGCACTGATGCCATGCTGTGCTGTGCTGTGCTGGGAGCCACTGAGCACCGCTGGGACACACATGCACTGTGTTTCCTGGCAGCTAGTTTTTAACTAGTGAATATGAGACATTTTAATTTCCTTTTCAGTGGAAAAGGGAAGAAATCTTATTTTAAAATCACTGCCCCAGCTGGGTGGTCATGTCACACTCCTTTAATCCCAGCACTCGGGAGGCAGAGGCAGGCGGATCTCTGTGAGTTTGAGGCCAGCCTGGTCTCCAGAGCGAGTGCCAGGACAGCCAAAACTACATAGGGAAACCCTGTTTTGAAACAAACAAATGCACACACAAAACAACAACAAAACAAAACAACATTGCCACTGGTTCTCTTGGTGATGACTTCTGAGTTCGAGTTCTTACAGCTCCTTCCTTTATTTAGAGAGATGGGGTGGTTTCCGAGCAGCCAGGTGACAAGGGACTAGACAGTTCATGCTGGGTTACTGTAGCTTGCCTCTCCTGCCTCTCCTGTCTCTATTTCTTATTAACTGCTGTCTGTCTTCCAGTTCCTGTCAAGTGCTGTTGTCAAATGTGTTCTTGTTTGTAGTTTTTTTTTTATTCCTACTATTCTGCACATAAAACTGATCAACTAATTTGCTGTTTTGAACTCAGCCTTTGTCGGAATTATGGGTAACACAAGATCTTACAAACTGCTAGACTGGAATAGTTTCAATTCAGGTATTTTACTGGTCATTCAGTATTACATATGCTGACAGAAATTATGGCAGCTCAGTGAGGTTTTAGAGGTGCTATAGACTAAACAGATCAACTCAGTTACATGAGTATATTCTGTAGTAGTCATGTCACAGCTTGTGATTTGCCTAGAAATGAAAGTATCAAAATATATGAGCTAAAGTGAATCAAAACCATTCCATAAATTATGAATGACTTTGCTTATGTGACTAACTTTTAGAATATTATTAAATTCTATTTATGCATTTTGGCCAGTGTTTTCATATCTGGTAAGTGATACAGACGTTAGTTTTATCATCAATCAGCATTTGTTAAATACATTAAACAACCACCGTGATAAACCTTAAAGCATGTTTAAACTGCACCATCAGATTTAATAGAATATGTTTACTGTTTTATAAATTACCAGGAAATGTGACTCTTAGCATTTTCATTTATAATGCTAGCATTGTTCCAAAACTTCATAGCAGGACAGATTTTCCAGGGAGATTAATAAGATCTATAAGCTTTCCTCCTTCCATGTGAGATTCCAATTTTTTTTATAAGTAATTTGAATATAGTCTGTAACAATTAAAAAAAAAACAAGAAAACTTACAGCTGATGATGTGTTTTAGTAATGCCAATTAGTTTCTTTTTGATCAAAGCATATTTTCTTGCTAATTTAAATATCTAAAATTATTTTTGGAATTAAAACTTGGGACTATTTTAATTAAACACTAAAGCTGATATTTAAAATTTTTTTTTCAGTTCTTTGTGTCAGTGAATTTTATAGTGAAGCAAAAGCACCAAAGGGCTCAGAATTTTAGGAAATACTTTTGGTATTGTCTGTAAGCAAGAGTCAAAGGTAAAAGCTCTGATGGATATTGTTTGACTATGCGTGATCTGGCTTTATCAGCCTGCGCAAATGGAGAGGAAGCCTATTTTCTGAGTCTTTAAGGAAGTTACCTCTGTTTTCTAGGCAGGGTTGAACCATGGTGCTGACGTTCGTTGAAATGAAAAGGATTATGTATTATGATTTACTTTTATTGAGAAAATGAAATATACCCTATTGGATTTGTTTTACAAAGTAAGAATATATTCTAGGACACAGTTAGCTTAGAGCAATTAGAAAAGCAGCTTGTGCATAAAAATGGTGTCTATCACTAACAAAGAAGTGAAGTCCTGTCAGATCAGCCTCTTTCAGGGTGTGGTGGGGTAGTTGTTGGCCAGATAACAGAAGCATATTGTAAAAGGAAAGGGCCGAGACAAAATCTCTGAGACACAAACAGGGCAGCCTTTTGGCAAGGAAGACATGGCTGAGGAAGCAGTATATCTTGCCATCACTGAATGTAATGTCATATGGGAAGTGTGCAAAAGAGAAGTGGGTGTGGAGCCCCATGAGGGGTGGGGGAGAGTTGACAGACTGGGCTGTGGAGGTCGTTCCGGGCCAGCCTAGGCTATGATGGGATACTGTGCTCAGAAGAGCGAGCCCAGCAAATTACAGAAAGGGAATGAGTGCTTTTACTGTAGTGTCTCCATAGTGCCGTCCTAGGGCCTTGCCTTAGAATTGTTACCTTTAGAAATAAGGCTGATTGTGATACTTAATTTGGTAATTATGAAGAAAATGTGATATCTTTGGTAAATATATTCAAATAATTTTTATATATCCTCTTAAATTTGGAAGTACTTTGCCATTGCTATCCTGTAATTTCAAAATGTCAGGAATTGGCCGCATGTAGGCCTGGAGGAGTGACTCAGTGGTTAAGAGCCCTGGCTAATCTTCTGCAGCACCCATGCTCAATTCCCAGTACCCACGTGGATGGCAGCTCATAGCTGTCTTTAACTCTTAATTCCCGGGATTCAGTCCCCTCTTCGGGCCTCCACGGGAATACTTGCATATATGTGGTGCAGCCGTAAATATAGGCAAACACCCATACACAAAAGTTAAAAACCAACAAACAAGGAACCCAAACAAAGAATTGACCCATTAGTATGAATAATAATTGTTGATATTGTTTTTAATTCTAAAATTGCTCATACTCTACTTTTTGAGTTTTTTTGACACCATAATGTAAGGCCTCAGTCAGTTCGATAATAGACATCCAAGAGCAAGAGAAAAGAGAATTCTGAATGAGAAACACTTGTTAGTTCAGAAACCCTACAGGCTTTTCAGTTTGGTGCTGCATCAAGACTGTTTGGTCATGGATCACGCACCATGGCTGTCCCTTCAGATCACATTGTCGTGGGTTCGGCTGCCTCACGTGTGCCATTGCATGTCATGTTGTTTTCACAGTGGTGACCACTGGTTACTGTGGCATTTCTTAGAACACATGCCTCTGTCATTGAGTGATACTTGCCTGAATTGGTATTTGTTTTGTACTATACAGTTAGGTGCTGGAGGACAAAGGTCGCCACTCACCCTGCCTATGAAACCAGTGTTCTTTGATGACAGAAAAGTATTAAAGGTGCTCCTGTGTTGTGTGGTACACAGAGTGGAAGCAGGCGTGGCTAACTGTCGGGGACGTGCTGACAGCTAAGCTCACATTTGAAGGCTACATATCAGGTTTTTGTAGGTTTCCAATTCTTTCAGTAAGATGCTTAGCCCCATATGAATGCATAC